TTATTATTTCTTGTTTTTGATAATAGCCATTCTAACAGGTGTGAAGTGACAGCTCCTTGTGGTTTTGACCCGCATTTCTCTGATGATTTAGTGATGTTGAGCGTCTCTTCATGTACCTGTTGGCCATCTGTATGTCTTCTTTGGAAAAATGTCTATTCAGATCCTCTGCCCATTTTTAAATCAGATTTGTTTTTTGCTATTGAGTTATATGAATTCCTTCTGTATTTTGAATATTAACTTGTTACCAGACATACGATTTGCATATCCTTTCTCCCATTGGGTAGGTTGCTTTTTCTTTTTGTTTCCTTTGCTATGCAGAAGCTTTTTAGTTTGATGTCGTTCCACTTGTTTATTTTTGATTTTGTTGCCTTGGCTTTTGGTGTCAAATCCAAAAAATCATCACCAAGACTTATGCCAAGAAGCTTACTGCCTATATTTCCTTCCATGAGTTTTATGGTTTCAGGTCTTACATTCAGGTTTTTAATCCAATTTGAGTTCATTTTTGTGTATGTTTAAGACAGTGGTCCAGTTTCTTCTGCATGTGGCTGTCCAATTTTCCCAACACAATTTATTGAAGAGACCGTCCTTTCCCCATTGTATATTCTCGGCTCCTTTTACTTAAATTAATTGACCGCATATGTGCGGGTTTATTTCTGGGTTCTCTATTCTGTTCCATGATCTATGTGTCTGCTTTTATGCCAATATGATACTGTTTTGATTATTATAACTTTGTGCTATAGTTTGAAATCAGGGAGACTGATACCATCGGCTTTGTTCTTTTTCCTCAAGATTGCTTTGGCTGTTTGGGGTCTTTTGTGGTTCCATACAAATTTTAGTATTTTTCTTTCTATTTCCGTGAAAAATGCCATTGGAATGTTAATAGGGCTTGCTTTGAAAATGCAGATTGCTTTGGGTAGTATGGACATTTAAAAAATGTTAATTCTTTCAATCCGTGAACACGGAATATTTTTCCATTTATCTGTGTTTCTTCAATTTCTTTCATCAATGGTTTTTAGTAGAGTCACCCTAGATAGAAACTCTGCACCCTTAGCTGTCATCCTCCAATTTCCCCAGCCCCTGGCAACCACGAATCCATATTTGACTTTATAGATTTGCCCCTTCTGGACAGTCCATATAACTGGAATCATGCAATATCTGAACTTTTGTGTCTGTCTTCTTAGCATGTTTTCAGAGTTTACATGTTACAGTTTGTGTCCGTCCTTCATTTCTTCTGATTGACACCTGATATTCCACTGTCTGGATATATCACATTTAGTTTCTCCATTCATCAGTTGATAGACATTTGGGTTGTTTCCACTTTGGGACTATTAGGAAAAATACTGCTATGAACATTCCTATAAAAGTTTTTGCGTGGATGTGTTTTCATTTCTCCTAGGGACAGACCTAGGAGTGGAATTGCTGGGTCCGGTGGTGACACTGTAAGGTCCTTCTGGGGTGGGGAACTGCTAGACTGTTTTCCAGAGTAGCTGCACCGTTTTGCATTCCCACCAGCAGTGTCTGAGGGTCCCAGTTTCTCCACATCCTCACTAACACTTGCTATTATCTGGGGACTTCAGTTCAAACAGGGTCCCTCTGACTGCTCTGTGGGGATCAGGCTGAGGGAGACAGAGGAAGAAGCTGGGGACCCAGTGAGGCGTGACTGTACTACTCCAAGCAGGAGGCTATGGTGGCTGGACCCAGAGTGCGGGCCGCAGAGGAGAGAGGTAATAAATGGCGGGATTGTGTAAAGACTTTGACCATGGAGCTAATGGGATTTGTTGCTAGATATTTGTGGAGTGCGAGGGAGGGAGGGAGGGACGTCAAAGATGATTCTCCAGGTTTTATTATCAACTGAGATGGATAAGACTACGGTAGGAGTGGGCTTGGCGGGTGGATCTGGAGCTCAGCTTTGGACGGCTGAGTTTGAGAGTCCCACCAGACAGCCAGGTGGGAATACACAGTAGGCGATTCGGTATTTTGGCCTTAGAACTACTGTTGGCGTCCACTGCACGTTTCTTGAATAGTTAAAGCCATAATTGAACCCGAATCCAGGGTCTCGGTTTTTCCCTGCAAGAAATGGGGGCAATAACACCACACTGACTAGTAAGTGGGCTGTCACGAGGCAGGGCGACTCCTATGCGGCACATGGCAGGGCTGCACACCTGGAAACCCAGGTCATGTCGTAGGGTGGAAAGAGGGCTGAGGTCGCGGCTCGGTTCAGGCAGGGTCCGTCTGTCTGTCTCCCCCGCACCCCAGCCTCTAGCCGCCGTCCAGGAAGGGGACGGGAGATTGGGTCGTCAACCTGTCTATCCCAGCTCTGAGCCTATAGTGTGAAATCAGGGAGACTGATACCATCGCCTTTGTTCTTTTTCCTCAAGATTGCTTTGGCTGTTTGGGGTCTTTTGTGGTTCCATACAAATTTTAGTATTTTTCTTTCTATTTCCGTGAAAAATGCCATTGGAATGTTAATAGGGCTTGCTTTGAAAATGCAGATTGCTTTGGGTAGTATGGACATTTAAAAAATGTTAATTCTTTCAATCCGTGAACACGGAATATTTTTCCATTTATCTGTGTTTCTTCAATTTCTTTCATCAATGGTTTTTAGTAGAGTCACCCTAGATAGAAACTCTGCACCCTTAGCTGTCATCCTCCAATTTCCCCAGCCCCTGGCAACCACGAATCCATATTTGACTTTATAGATTTGCCCCTTCTGGACAGTCCATATAACTGGAATCATGCAATATCTGAACTTTTGTGTCTGTCTTCTTAGCATGTTTTCAGAGTTTACATGTTATAGTTTGTGTCCGTCCTTCATTTCTTCTGATTGACACCTGATATTCCACTGTCTGGATATATCACATTTAGTTTCTCCATTCATCAGTTGATAGACATTTGGGTTGTTTCCACTTTGGGACTATTAGGAAAAATACTGCTATGAACATTCCTATAAAAGTTTTTGCGTGGATGTGTTTTCATTTCTCCTAGGGACAGACCTAGGAGTGGAATTGCTGGGTCCGGTGGTGACACTGTAAGGTGGTGACCTTCTGGGGAACTGCTAGACTGTTTTCCAGAGTAGCTGCACCGTTTTGCATTCCCACCAGCAGTGTCTGAGGGTCCCAGTTTCTCCACATCCTCACTAACACTTGCTATTATCTGGGGACTTCAGTTCAAACAGGGTCCCTCTGACTGCTCTGTGGGGATCAGGCTGAGGGAGACAGAGGCAGACGCTGGGGACCCAGTGAGGCGTGACTGTACTACTCCAAGCAGGAGGCTATGGTGGCTGGACCCAGAGTGCGGGCCGCAGAGGAGATTGGTAATAAATGACGGGATTGTGTAAAGACTTTGACCATGGAGCTAATGGGATTTGTTGCTAGATATTTGTGGAGTGCGAGGGAGGGAGGGAGGGACGTCAAAGATGATTCTCCAGGTTTTATTATCAACTGAGATGGATAAGACTACGGTAGGAGTGGGCTTGGCGGGTGGATCTGGAGCTCAGCTTTGGACGGCTGAGTTTGAGAGTCCCACCAGACAGCCAGGTGGGAATACACAGTAGGCGATTCGGTATTTTGGCCTTAGAACTACTGTTGGCGTCCACTGCACGTTTCTTGAATAGTTAAAGCCATAATTGAACCCGAATCCAGGGTCTCGGTTTTTCCCTGCAAGAAATGGGGGCAATAACACCACACTGACTAGTAAGTGGGCTGTCACGAGGCAGGGCGACTCCTATGCGGCACATGGCAGGGCTGCACACCTGGAAACCCAGGTCATGCCGTAGGGTGGAAAGAGGGCTGAGGTCGCGGCTCGGTTCAGGCAGGGTCCGTCTGTCTGTCTCCCCCGCCCCCCAGCCTCTAGCCGCCGTCCCGGAAGGGGACGGGAGATTGGGTCGTCAACCTGTCTATCCCAGCTCTGAGCTGGGTTTCCTCCTTGGGGGCTGCCCGGGCCAGAACTGCTGATGGAAACCAGCTGCGGGAGGCGCCCAGGCTGGGCGCACGCCCAGGCCCCTCCCCGGCGCCGGCGGACCCCGCTAAGTGGGGGAAACGAGGGCGTCCTAGCTCCCCTCCCCCCTTCCGCAGCGGGGCCAGGGGCCCTGGAACGTCCGGCGCGCCTGATGCTTTCCAGATGTGAGCCTGGTTCCCCTCCCCCAGCTGGCCCCGTTGCTCCGGCAGAGTAGGGGAGGAGGGGAGCCAGGGTCCCACACCCCCCCATCAAATCGCTACACCACGGACCTGGGCCGGTGTCCCCTCCCCGCAGATCTCGCGTTCCGGGCCAGGCAGTAAAAACTGAATTAAGATGGGCTCACTGTGGTAGAGGCGCTCCTTCCCCCACCTCCACCTCCTTGCTGGGCTCTCGCCTCCGCCCCTCGCGCAGCCGGCAGGGGTGGTCGGGCCACGCCCCACCCAGGCCACGCCCCAAGACTCAGCCCCACCCATCGACACGCCCCCTTAGAGCCCTGAGACCACGCCCCCTGGAAGCAACTCTGAGAGTCCCGCCTCCGCCATCACCCTCTGGAAGGCGCGAGCTGTCTCTGCCCGCCTCTGGGTCTGGGTATCTGTATTTCTCGGTCCCCGTCTCCAGCTCTACATTTCTGCCCGTCCTAGACCCTTTATGTCTCTGCGTCTCGGTCTCCCTCTCTGCAATCCTCTGGCCGTCCCCGTCTCTTTTGAATCCCGAGGTCTCTATCTCTCCGAATTTGTGTCTCTGAATCCTTGTCTCTCTCGTTTCTCTGTCTCTCCCTGCATCTCTCTCCCCTTCTCTCGGCGTCCCAGTCCGTCTCCAGTTCTCTCTCTCTTGCCTTCTTGTGGGTCCCTCTGTCCCATGTCTGCACCCCAGCCAGCCCGCAGAGGCGACTTGCTCTCCTGATTTCCACCTCCTCCTGGGGCTTTGGCGCCGGCGGGGCGGGCGGCTCGGCGGGCCGCGGGCGACCCCGTGTGGCCGTCAGGGGGACTGTCCGAAGAGGACAGAGGATTGAGTGCACACCCTCAGAGGTGTGCTGAGTGCAGAGAGACACTGTGGGCGTCTGTGGGTGACACGGGAGATGGTGTGTGCCACCAGGAGACTGTGTGGGTGTGTACTACTGTGAGATTGTGCGTGACGCCAGAGATCGTGCGTGGCTGTGTGACCCTGTGAATTGTGTGGCAAGCAGAGTGTGATTGTGTGAAGTCGTGTGTTACCCCTAGAGCTTGTAACTGTGTATGTGACATGAGAAAGATGACATGTAGGTGACTGTGTGTGATGCCGTGTGCCTGAGACACTATTTGGGAGACCGTGACATCGAGAGACCATGTGTGAGAGGGAGAGATTGTGTGTGACAGTGTGCAACATGGTGAAGACATGAGTGCCACGTGTGTCACATGGGCAGATGATGTGTGAGACCGAATGCGTGTGATCCACCCAGATGATGTGAGAAGGTAGTGTGAGAGGCTCAGGGGGACTGGGTGTGACAGAGAGACCATGTGAGTATAAGTCAGTATGTGTCAGCCACACTGATGAACTGTGAGGTCATGTGGGAGATGGACAGACTGGCACCGGATGGTGACAGTGCATGAGAGTGTGTAACTGTGCGGGGCACTCGGAGATGAGAGTACGAGAGAGACCTTGCGTGTGTAAAAGCGGGAGGCTGCTGTGTTAGGGCAACAGCTGTGCGTGATATGGACTGCGTGGGGCTCAGCCAGAGATTCTGCACACAACAGTTGGTGGAGGGGACGAACTCTGTGTGACTGTACGTCCGGGAATGTGTAAGATTGTGTGTGACATTTAGAGGTGGTGCAAGAATGGGTGTGACTGTGGGAGTCGCTGGATATATGACTGTTACTGTGTAATACCCTGAGATAGTATGTTTGACTGTGGTTGTGCGAGATATCATTGGTGATGTGTCACACTGAGAGATTGCGAGAGACTGTGTGGCATTTAGAGAGACCACGTGACTGTGGCACCGTGGGAGATTGTGTATTGAGCACGGGTTGTTTGTGAGACTCTGGCAACACTTGTGTGACACAGCGAGAGATAATACATCTCTGTGCGAGGGACTGCGAGTGTGAGTCTGTTTGCTGAGAGGGGTCATCTGTGGTGGGGTGGCACTGAGGTGGCCAGTACGACAGGGCGGGAGAGCATGAGCGAGTGTGTGTGTGTGTGTGTGTGTGTGTGTGTGTGTGTGTGTGTGTGAGAGAGAGAGAGAGAGAGAGACAGAGAGATTGAGAGAGGAGACTGGGAAAAAGAGAGAGGGAAAAAGACACTGAGAACAGGAGCCATAGAGACACAGGGAGAGAGACCCAAAAACAGAGACCGAGAGGGGACGGGCGGACAGAGATAGGACCCAGGAGACAGACCCAAGGCGGCGAGCAAGGGTGGTGGGAGGTGGTGGCAGGTGGTGGCAGGAGCAGGAGGAGGCGGGTCCTCAGGGGCTGCACCCCGGGGGAGGGGGTGGGGCGGGGCTGGGCAGGGGGACCCAGAGGCTGTCGCCCAGCCTCTGCCACCATCCTGCCCTCCCAGCCCTGGGCAACAACAGGTAGGAGGCTCCAGTCCTGGCCCCAACGGCTAATCCCTCTGCCCGATCCCAGCCGATCTGTCCACCTAGGAATGAACGAATGAGTGAGTGAATGAATGACGTTATACTTCTGCATCTCCATGAGCCTGTCTCTCCCCCAGCCCCTCCGTCTCCCTCTCTCTGTCCCCCGTCCCTTGCCTGCCCTTATCCCTCTCTCCCTCTGTGCCTCTCTCCGCTCTCTCTCTGTCGCTTCCTGTACCGCTTCATGTGTCCCTGTCTCTCTCTTCTCCCGCCCGCATCACTCCATCCCTCCTGGACTCCTCCGTCTCGGTCTCCTCCTCGGAACGCCCCCTCCCCGCCG